GAAGAAGGGTCTGAAGAAGGGTCTAGGCCCGAAATGTCAGCCTTCCTGCTTCTCTGATGCTGCTTGTCCTGCTGTGTTCATCCAGCTCTACACCTTGTTATCTCTTCCTCTAAATCTTTCCGATTTATGTACCTGTCCAAATGTCTTTTAAATATTGTACCTGTACCTGCATCTACCACTTCCTCTGCCAGCTCATTCCAAATATGTACCACCCTCTGTGTGAAAAAGTTGCCCCTCAGGTTCCTTTTAAATCTTTCTCCTCTCACCTTAAAATTATGGCTTTTTGTTTTGAACTCCCAACCCTTGGGAAAAGACATTTGCCATTCACCCTATCCATGCCCCTCATGATTTTATAAACCTCTATAAGGTCACCCTTCAACTTCCTATGCTCCAGGGGAAAATCTTCCCAGCTTATCAAGCTTCTCCTTATAACGCAAACCCTCCAGTCCCAGGAACATCAATTATTAAGGAAGTAACAGCAGCACATTTGGAAAATGAAGTGGAAATCATATCTGACTAACTTATTAGAGTTTTCAGTAAGTCTCAGCCAGAGTGCATAGAGGTGAACCAGTGAATGTGTTGTATTTGGAATTCCAGAAGGTATTCGGCAAGGTACCTCACAAAAGGTTAAGTCATAAGAACCCACAGTGTTGGAGACGGTGTATCGGCGTGGATAGAGAATTGGCTCATGGGCAGGAAACAGTAAGTGGGCATAAGGAGATCTTTGTCAGGTTGGTGATCTGTAAGCAGTGGGTTCTACAGGGGTCAGTGCTGGGACCACAACCATTTACAATATATATTAATGACCTGAAGGAAGGAAGTGAGTGTAATGTAGCCAGATTTACAGTTAACACAAAAATAGGTGGAAAGGCAGGTTGTGAGAGGGATACAGTTAACGGAGGGATATTGAAAAGTTAAATAAGTGGGCAAAAAGTTGTAAAATGGGGTGTAATGTGGGAAGTGTGAAGTTGATTTTGGAAGGGAGAGCAAAAGAAAAGAATTACTTAAATGTGGAGAAACTGCAGAAAGCTGAAACACAAAGGGACTTGGGGGGACTTGCACACAAAACACAGAAAGCTAGCACACAGGTACAGCAGGTAATCAGGAAGGGCTAATGGAACACTACCCTTATTTCAAGGGGGTTAGAGTATAAGAGTAGGGAAGTCTTACTGTAACTGTACAAGGTGCTGGGGAGACCACATCTGGAATACTGTGAGCAGGTTTGGCCCCATTATTTAAGGAAAAATATTTCATTGGAGGCAGTTCTGAGAAGGTTCACTGGGATGATCCCTGGTACGGACGGATTGTCTTATGAGCAAAGATTAAACAGGTTGGGACTTTATTCACTGAAGTTTAGAAGAGTGAGAGGTGATCTCATTGAATCATACAGGATTCTGAAGTGGCTTGACAGGGTAAATGCTGAGGATGTTTCCCCTCATGGGAAAGTCTAGGACCAGAGAGAATATTCTTTAGAATAAGTCTATAAAACAAAGAAGCACCAATTTAAGACTGACATGAGGAGAAATTTCTTCTCTCTGAAGGTTGTGAGTCTTTGGAACTCTTTGCCACAGAGAGCTGTGGGGGCAGAGTCCCTGTGTATATTTAAGGCTGAAGTAGATTGATCCTTGATCAGTCGGGGAATCAAGGGTTACAGGGAAAGGACAGGAAAGTAGAAATGAGGAATGCCGGATCAGCCATGATTCTATTGAATAATGGAGGCAGGCTCGAGGGGCCAAACAACCTACTCCTGTTCTTATTTCTTCCGGTTTTGTGGCAGTAACGTTTGAGAATCTTTTTTGTGATAATGTTTGACATGGGTGTCATTTTTAGGTATTTTAAGAAATGTGTTCCTCAGTGCAGTGAAAGCAACAGAAGTGCAGGTTTAACTTAAAAATATGCAGGACATTAACGTTTATAAATTTAATAACTTTACAAGGAACTATTAAACCATTTTCACCACTTGGATGGTTTGATCTGAACTGGGATAGGAGTACCAGAGGAGGCTGAGACTTTATCCACCTCCACCTTCTAGTCCCAGTTTGATAATTGTGCATCTCTTCAGAATGTAAATTAGCAATATGTTGGTGTTCAGGACTTCTACTTTCAGTGGCATCTGAGCAATGCTGGAAAAGACCAAACCTCATCAAAGCAAAGGCAGTAAGTTTAAAAATCCAAAAGCTGACCAATCACTGAACTGGAAATACTTACACCAACGAAGGGGATGAATTTCTGGCAGGAATCCTCATCGGGGCTGATGTGAAAGAAGAAAAGGAATATTATTCACAGCTTCAATGGCTGTCTAACAATTCCAACTCTAAGACTGCTGCTACACTGTCCAGTTGCCACAGTTAAACCAACTATACACATGGATTTTAGAACTCTACCTGGAGAAATAGTCGAAAATCAAATCCCATCTCCTGAATTCATTTCAAATCAAACCCCTTAAAATAATCACAAATCACGCCCCCCAAATAATCTCAACTCAGTCCCTCTAAATAATCTCAAATTAGACCCACAAAATAACCTCAAATCAACCTCTCTGAAGTAGTCTCAAATCGGTGCCACAGGATAATCTCAAATCAGACCCAGAAAATAATCTCAAATCAAAAACAAGAAATAACGTCAAATAAGACCCTCTGAAATAACCTCAAATCAAGTCTTGTCAGATTATTTCAAATCAACCCCACAAAATAATCTCAAATCAACCCCTTTGAAATAATATCAACCAGTCCCCAAATAATCTCAAATGAGGCCCATGAAATTATGCTAAATCTCATCCTCTGAAATAATCTCATATTAATCCCCTGAATAGTCACAAATCAGGTCTTCTAAAATAATCTCATATCAATCCACCCAACATAATCTCAAATCAACCCCTCTGAAATAACCTTAAGACATCTGAAATAATCTCAAATCAACTCCCAAACTCAAATCAGACCCACTAAAATAATCCTAAATAAATCCCTCTGAAATAACGCCAAATTAGCCCCAATATAAGTTCAACACAGTCTGTAATAATCTATCAAATAACCTACTAATAACCAAAATAATATCAATGCAAATCTGAAATAATCTTGTGTATGTGTGGGTGTGTGTATGTGTGTGCATGCATGTATGTGTGTGTATGTGTGTATATGTGTGTGGGTATGTGTCTGTGTGTATGTGCATCTGTGTTTGTGTGTGTGTGCGTGCGCACGTGTGTGTGTGTACATATGTGTGTATGGGTATTTGTCTGTATGTGAGTGCGTGTGTGTGTATGTATCTGTGCGGGTATGTGTCTATGTGCATGTCTGTGTGTGTGTGTGTATGTGTGTGTGCGAGTGGTTGTGTGTGTGTGTGTGTGTGTGCGTGTATGCAGTAGGAAGTGGAAGTAGGATACTATAACAGGCAAAAGAGAATGATCTGTCCAGCATTCTGTGTCACAAGCACAGCTTCAATTCTAATGCAACACCTTTTGCTATTAATGCACTGCTCCAAACTACAGGCCTCAGCTAGGAACTGCCCGATTGAATGTGCTTTCCTCCAGTATGTTACACTGGCATTTCTCCCCCAGTTACTCAACTTACTGAAACACTGAAGAACAGTATGCAGGTTAGACAACATCTTCCGAACTAATTTGTTCCAACAGACTGAACTTGATCTACTGCACTGTAAGTTTCCTCATGACAGTCACTGTGCACAAATTTCAGGACAGGAGACAAATACAACAGTGTATCTGCAACAGACAAACTCAAGCTATAAGGTGGCACTTTCTAGCACAAACATTGGAAATTGAACAGGAGATATCCCCTCTACTGGTCTCGGCTTTTTAATAAATTTGTTTGTAGAATGTGGGCATCGCTAGCTGGGACAACATTTATTGCCCATTCCTAACTTTCACATGATCTGAGTGGCTTGATAGTCCCATTTCAGAGGGCAGTTAAGAGTCAACTACATTGCTGTGTGTCTGGAGTCACATGTAGGCCAGACCAGACAAGGATGGTAGATTTCCTTCCCTAAAGGATATTCATGAACCAGGTAGGTTTAGCAATGGCTAAATGGTTACTATTAGGAGACATTTTAACTTCAAACTGCAGACCTCGGCTGGGACAAAAGGACAAAGAGGAAAAGGAGGTAAGGTTGCATTGCTGGTTAAAGAGGACATTAAGGCAATAGTGAGAAAGGATTTTAGTTACAGTGAAGTGAAATCTGTATGGGTAGAGCTTAGAAATACCAAATGGGAGAAGATAATATTGGGGTTGTAAACAGACCCTCAAACTGTAGGGTGATGTTGGGGAAGACATCAAACAGCAAATTACGAGATATATGCAATAAAGGTACAGCTGTAACTATGGATGACTTTAATCTGCATATAGATTGGCCAAATCAAATTAGTAACAATACCATAGAACAGGAATTCCTGGAGTATGTATCGGATGAGTTTCTGAACCAATACATTGAGAAACCAAATAGAGAACAGGTCATCCCAGTCTGGGTATTGTATACTGACAAAGGAGTAATTGGAAATCTAGTTGTGTGAAACCCTTTCGGGGGGTAAGCAGCCATAATTCCTCATCAAGACAGAGACTGACGTCGCTGATTCTGAGATTAGGGACCTGAATCTAAATAGACGAAACTACGATGGTATGGGGCATGAGCTGTCTATAATAAATTGGGGAATATGGCTTAAAGGGATGATGGTGGAAAGGAAATGCCAAACTTTGGAAGAGTGTATGGAGGAAATGCAATAATTGTTCATTCCTGTCTGGTGCAAAAACTTAATGGAAAGGTGGCTTGCCCATGGCTAACAAGGGATTATATAAGATCCAAGGAAGGGACATACAAATTGACCAAAAAGATCAGTAGGTCTGAGGATTAAGAGCAGTTAAGATTACCAGAGGTATGACAGAGGGATTGATTAAGAAAAGGAAAATAGATCACCAGAGTAAACCCGCAGGCAACATTCAAACTGACGATAAAAATTCTGACAGGTACGTGAAGAGAAAAATATTAGTGAAAACAAATGCAGGTCCCTTACAGTCAGAAACAGGGCAAGTTATAATGGGGATCAAAGAAATGGCAGACCAGTTAAATACTTACTTTGGTTCCATCTTCATAAAGGAGGAATTGTCCCAAACATGTTGGGGAACACAAGGTTTAGTGAGAGTGAGGAACTGAAGGAAATCAGTATTAGTCAGGAAATAGTGTTGGGGAAATTGATGGGGTTGAAGGCTGATAAAATTCCCAGGGCCCGATAATCTACATCCCAGAGCACTTAAGCAAGCGGCTTAGAAACAGAGGGTGCGTTGGTGTCATCTTCGAAGATTCTATAGACTGTGGAGCTGTTCCTATGGATTGGAAGGTAGTTAATGTAACCTCATTATTTAAAACAGGACATAGCGAGAAAACCAGGAACTACAGGCCAGTCAGCCTGGTGTCGGTGGTGGGGAAAATGTTAGTTCATTATAAAAGAATTAACAGCCAAGCACTTAGAGAAGAGTGGCAGGATTGGACAGAGTCAGCATGGGTTTACGAAAGGCAAATCATCCTTGACAAATCTACAGAAATTCTTTGAGGATGTAACTGGTTGATATAGGGTAGGCAGAGGATATTGCGAGTCCGGTGACCTTTCCTTAGAACACCGTTAACTCTGATTTTTTCTTCACAGATGCTGCCAGGCCTGCTGAGCACTTCCAGCAACTTCTGGTTCAGTTCCTGATTTACAGCATCCGCAGTTCTTTCGGTTTTTACAGGAGCAGGGGTGTCTTGCTGCAATTATACAGGGCTTTGGTGCAAATACACATGGAGTATTGTGTGCAGTTTTGGTCTCCTTAAAGAGTCATAAAGTCATATAACACAGAAATAGACCTTGAAGTTGGTTGGCTCGCTGAGCTGGTTAGTTGTTTCGCAGACGTTTCGCTACCATGCTGGGTAACATCCTCAGTGCAGCCTCCGATGAAGCGTCGGTGTGTTTTCCCGCCTAGTTTTTAAACTCTGGGGTCCGTTGAGATGGATTGCCTCACTTCCGGGTTTTTCTTAGTAGTGGAATGTATATGGGGTCGAGTTCAATGTGTTTATTAATAGCATGCTTCGTTGAGTGCCATGCTTCTAGGAATTCTCCTGCCTGTCTCTGCCTAGACTGTCCCAGGATCATGGTGTTGACCCAGTCGAAGTGGTGGTTCTCCTTGTCCATGTGGATTGAGATGAGTGAGTGTTGGTCATGTCTTTTTGTAGCCAGTTGGTGTTCGTGTACCCTTGTTGTTAGTTTCCTTCCTGTTTGTCCGACGTAGTGTTTCTCACAGTCTCTGCAGGGGATTTTGTAGATGACATTGGTCCTGTCCATGGCAGGGAGTGGGTCTTTAGTTTGGGTGAGCAGTTGCCATAGGGTTGACGTGAGCTTGTGTGCCACTAGTGTCGGTGTGTTTTCCCGTCTGATTTTTAAACTCTGGAGTCCCGTACCAGCAGGGGAATTCCTAGAAGCATGGCACTCCACGAAGCATGCTATTAATAAACACATAGAACTCAACCCTATATACATTTCACTACGGAGGAAACCCGGAAGTGAGGCAATCCATCTCAACGGACCCCAGAGTTTAAAAACCAGGTGGGAAAACACACTGACGCTTCATTGGAGGCTGCACTGAGGATGTTACCCAGCACGGTAATGAAACGTCTGCGAAACAACAAACCAGCTCGGCGAGCCAACCAACCTCAACACCCACAACCCAAGCTACAGATCTACTCCAAAACCTTACAGAAATAGACCCTTCGGTCCAATCAGTCCATGCTGACTATAATTCCAAAGTCAACTACTCCAACCTGCCTGTGTTTGGCTCATATTCCTCCAAACATTTCTTATTCATGTGCTTCTCTAAATGTCTCTTCAATACTGTAATTGTACCTGCATCCACCACTTCGTCTGGAAGTTCATTCCACACACAAACCACTCCCTGTGTAAAAAAAAAATTGCCCCCATGTCTATTTTTTAAATCTTTCTCCTCTACCTTGATATCACCTACCCTAGGCAAAGGACACCTGCCATTCATCTTATCTATACCCCTCATGATTTGATAAACCTCTATAAGGTCACCCTTCAACCTCCTACTTTCCAGTGATAAAAAGTCTCATCCTATCTATCCTCTCCCCATCACTCAAACCCTCCATTCCCAACCACATTTCTGGAGAAATGTTCTCCATTTCTGGAGAACTGTGTGCAGTTCTGGTTGCTCTGTTATAGAGAGGATATTATTAAACTGGAGAGGGTTCAGCAAAGATTTACCAGGATATTGCTGGGAATAGAGGGTTTGAGATATAAAAATAGACTGTGCCTTTTTTCATTGGAGTGTAGGATGTTGAGGGGTGACCTTATTGAGGTTTATAACATCATGAGGGGCACAAATAAGGTGAATGACAAGGGTCTTTTCCCTAGGGTGGGGGAGTTCAAAATTTGGGGGCATATTTTTAAGGTGAGAGGAGAAAGATTTAAAAAGGACAAGGGGTAACGTTTTTATACAGAGAGCAGTTTGTGTGTGGAGTGAACTGCCAGAGGAAGTGGTGGATGCAGGTAAGTTACAACATTTAAATGATATTTAGACAGGGAAATGAATAGGAATGTTTTGGAGGGAAATGCACTGGGTTAGTTTCAGAACATGGTTGGCATAGACTAGTTAGACCGAAGGGTCTGATTCCATGCTGTATGACTCTATGACCAGACAGTTCAGAACCAGGGGTCAGAGTTTAAGAAAATGGAATAGGCCATTTAGGACTGAGATGAGGAAAATGCCTTCACCCAGAGAGTGGGGAGCCTGTGGAATTCACTGTCATAGAAACTGGTCGAGACCAAAACATTGAATGATTTGAAGAAAGAGTTTTTTTTTATTCATTCATGGGATTCACATCATTGGCCATTCCCACATTTATTCCCATCCCTAACTGCCCAGAGGGAAGTTGAGAGTCACCTACATTGCTGTGGGTCTGGAGTCATACTTAGGCCAGACCAGGTCAGGATGGTATATTTCCTTCCATGAAGAACATTAGTGAACCAGATGGGTTTTTCCTGACAATCGGCAATGGCTTTAAGGTCATTGTTCGACTCTTAATTCCAGATTTTTACTGAAATCAAATTTCACTATCTGCCACAGTGGGACTTGAACCCATGTCCCATAATCTATGGATGGATGACTCATGACAATAGTACACCATCAGCTCCACTTACTGTCAAAGGCCATGTGTGAACCCAGACAGTTATGACCATCTCAGCCCATGTTCACACACATTCTCTTTACAACAGCTGAGTCAAGTATTGGAAGTTGAACTGAAAGAAGGAAAGATTAATATATTTCCGGCGAGAAATGTTTTCCACTAGTTGGAAAGTCTAGAACTAGGCGACACGGTGTAAAAATGAGAGCCAATTTTTCAGGAATGTAGTTTGCAAACACTTCAACACACATAGGGCGGCAGCAGTTTGGAACTCTCTGGCACAAGTGGACATTGATGCTGAATTAGTTGTTAGTCTCAAATCTGATATTGAAAGATTTCCATCAATGAAAAGTTTTAAATGATATGGAGCCTAGGTGGTATATGGAGTCAGGCTGCAGATAAGCTCCCCTGGAAACTTCCTGTTCCTGCTTCAGTCACATCACTTCCATGTGACTCTCTGAGCCTTCCTAAATTGTCAATTCCATCCTTTCAAAATGAATGCAGTTGGGATCCAAGCTCTTCAGATAATTCAGCAACACTAATATTGAGTTGGCTTTATAACTCCTGGGACTAACTAGCTGAGAATTGGAACATACACCTTCACCAGCTAGACAAACACAAAGCCTTAGGTCGTGACAAACTGTACACAAAACAGGCCACAGCACAAGAGCAGGTACAGATCAACCAAAGTCAGTTATTAAAATAAGGAAGACAAGTGAGAGAACAAGACAGCATGTCTGACGAGAAGATGAATGTGCAGAACACACAGGCAGATACCTGATATAAAAATCAAAATATAGGCTCCTTTTCCTTGATGCATAAGAAAATTAAAAACATAGTGTAAAAATTACCTGAAATTATAAATGATAAAAATATTCAAGGGGGAAGAAAAATAAGAGACAATAGCAGTGCATGAGGACTCTGTTATTGTGAAGCTAACAAATATAAATATATATACACATTTGATTCAGGAACAGAGAACTGGTTCATTCTACCTCCAGTTTATCAGCACTGTCTGCTCTGCTGTTAGAGTCTAACAATTAAGTAACTGTTTGCCAAGGGAGTGAGAAGTTCACTTAATCCGGGATGCTTCATATTTGGTGGGATGTGAGTTTGGATCGTGGATGATGCTGCTAGGAATTCATTGAATGCATGATAACATCACCATGTTAATGGACGAGGTGGCCTGAATTTAGATACATTTATCCAGCTAATCCGAGGCAGGTCGAATGCCAGACTGAAGTGGCCTTCAGTTAAAACAGATCTTCAAGTTCCCAGCTCATGCCAAGTCCGAAGACTAAACACAGAAGTTCACTTATAACAAGGGTGTCTTTAAAAAAAGCACAACTCTTCTCCAGTGAAAACTCAGACTTCTTAGCTCGCATTTTACATGGAGAATTGGAGAAATGCAGAATTAAAAGGGCAGGGAATTTTATTCATCTCACAGCTCAGTATGACTGCATTATCTCACACTGATTTGACAGTCAATATTATAGATCATGGAACAGAGGATGCCATGCAGAGAGTTTGCACCGCAATCTTCCAATTTTGTAATGGTCATTAGATTAGGAAAACATGCCAGATCGTCAAAAACAAATTAGGAATGAGAAAGACAATTCAGTCCATAAAGAATGGGGCCTTTCAAAAAAAAGACTTTTTTAATGAGAGATGTAACTAATTAGATTAGACAGGCATTGCACAATGACAGCAAAGCAAGGAAATTGTTGGAAGAGTCACTGGACTCGAAATGTTAGCTCTTGTTTTTCTCTCCACCGATGCTGCCAGACCTGCTGAGTTTCTCCAGCAATTTCTGATTTTGTTTTAGACTTCCATCATGTGCAGCAGCCTGTCTGATTTCCCTCTCTCTGCAAATACACATCAAGAAACCCTGGACAGGTTAGGCCAATGTAGATCATGACTCCATGTTGACATTACCAAATTTGTAGGAAATTCTATTCCTTCAGTACAACAGTTTCATCTTGGAATGAGCCTCCTCCTCCACTGAACTGTTTAAACGTCCACCACCATTGACAACTGATGTGGCAGGAATGCAGAGTTTAGATCTGATCTGTTGGTTGTAGGATCCCTGGGCTTTGTCTATCACGTGCTGCTTTCGCTGTTTGGTGTGCAAGTAGTCCTGTTTGGTAGCTTCACTAGGTTGATACCTCATCTTCAGGTATTGCTGGTGCTGTTCCTGGCATGCCCTCCTGCACTCTCCATTGAACCAGGGTTGATTCCCTGGCTTGATGGTAATGGTTGAGTGGGGGATATGCTGGGCCATGAGGTTACAGATTGTGCTGGAGTATAATACAGATGGAACTGCAGCTGGCAGATTGATAAGGATGAGGTCAAGTATGTTTTTCCCTCTTGTTGGTTCCTTCACCACCTGCCGCAGATCCAGTCTAGCAGCTATGTCCTTTAGGGCCCGACCAGCTCGATCAGTAGTACTGCTGCTGAGCCACTCTTGATGGTGGACGTTGAAACCCCCACCCAGAGTACATTTTGTGCCCTTGCTATCCTCAGTGCTTCCTCTAAGTGTTGTTTGACATGGAGGATTATGGATTCATCAGATGAGGTAGGATGGTATGTGGTATTCTGCAGGAAATTTCGTTTCCCAAGTTTAACTTAATGCCATATGGGATTAAGATCCAGAGTCATTGTTGAGGACTCCCAGGGCAATACCCTCTCGACTGTATCCCACTGTGGCACCATCTCTACTGGGTGTGTCCTGCCAGTGGGGAAAGGACATATCCAGGGATGGTGATGGTGGTGTCTGGGACATTGTCTGTAAGGCATGATTCTGTGAGTATGACCATTTCAGGTTGTTGGTTAACTAGTCTGTGAGGCAGAGCTTCCAGTTTTGGCACTAGCCCCCAGATGTCAATAACGAGGACTTAGAATCATGGAATTCCTACAGTGTGGAAGCAGGCCATTCGGCCCATCGAGTCCATACTGAGCTTCTGAAAGCATTCCACCCAGACCAACCCCCTACTCTATCCCTGTAATTCTGAACTTCACATGGCTAACCCACCTAACCTGCACATCTTTGGACTGTGGGAGGAAGCCGGAGCACCCGGAGAAAACCCACGCAGACACGGAGAGAATGTGCAAACTCCACACAGACAGTCCTTGGTGCTGAGGTAGCAGTGCTAACACTCACTGTGCCACCATGCCGACTTTGCAGGTTTGACGTTTGCCATTGCCTTTTCCAGTGCCTACGCTGATGCCAAAGTGGTCTGTCTGGTTTCACTTTTCTCTTTAGACTTAGTCTTGACTTTATAAAATGGACTTGCTTTGCTAGAATGAGTGTTAGAATGAAGGTGAGGTCCTGAGTTTGAGGAAAGTTAGAATTGCAGATGAGATCCTGATCGCCTGCAGAATCAATATTTTGTTGCTGACAATGTGTTCATAGCCAAACATTCCATGAAAAGCCTGACAATAACTATGTGAAGGAATAGTCCAAATCTCTGCACCTTCAGGCTCAATGATGGAACTTGGCAATCTCTCTCAGGCCAAAATGATTCCTGGGTTGAACACGTATTGTGCACTAGAGGTGCATTCCTCATTTAATTTAACAACCAATTTAGCACTGGAAGACGAAGAGCACCCTGCGCAGTATTTTTGAGAATTCCTGTTTCATTTTCTGTGTTAAGAGTCCCACAGCCTTGTGACCTTGTTCTGTATAATTACTGCTTGTAATATCAAGCAAGAAAGACCGAGAGAGGAATGTGTTCCCACAAATACCTAAAAGCAATCCCAAAGCTCTATTATTTGCCTAACCAGCCCAAAAGAATTCCAAAAATTAAGAGTGGAAATGGGGAATTTCCTGGGAAATGGAATATCAGAGGAGGTCTGGATTGGACCAGCAACCTTGAAATTCCTGCTGGAAAGACTGTACCAAAAGCCCACTGGCAACCAGAATGCAGGGGTCAAATTCAGCAGGCTCACTCACCTCTTCTGTTTGTAGGTCAACATGGCCTCAGATATTGGCAGCTGATGTGACATGTTGGCACCAGACACATACTGCATGATTCGGCCGATGATGTCAAAAGTTTCTGTGGGACGACAGTATCAGAGAAACACACCGTAATACAGAGAGCAGCAGCAGTAGCAGCACAACAGTGCCCCAGTGCTTTGCAATTGGCTAAACATACTGTGACAATACAATATGGGTGCATAAAATGCGCTGCTGGCAGTGGTAGTGGAGTCAGATATATTAGAGACATTTAAGTGACTCTTGGATAGGCACGTGGAAGATAGTAAAATGTAGAGTAAGCAGGGTAGTTTGATCGTAGAGTAGGATCATAGGTCGGTACAACATTGTGAGCCAAAGGGCCTGTACTATGCTATGTTCTAATATTCTGACAGTGCGGCACTCCTCAGCACTGACCCTCCGACAGTGTGGCACTCCCTCAGTACGGACCCTCT